CACACACACACACACACACACACACACACACACACACACACACACACACACACACACACACACAGAGTGTTATCGCGGTGGATTTCGGTTTTTGAGCATGAGAGTAACTGCAATTGCCCGTCCTTCTGTCACATTTAATAGAATTTGATGGCTAGGTGAAGGTGGGAAATTGAAAAGATATCTCCTCAGCAGAGGGACGACACATGCCTTGACGGTTTTTTTCTCTAGAGATGGGGCGACCACATTCCCTTGGAACGGGAGGTAAAAATGAAGCAGTCTGGCAAACTCAGCCCCTGAGGACGCCAGTCAATGGGTTGAATGAAGATGGCTTTTCTGGTAGGGGGTTCCATGTTGATGGTCTCTCTTTGGTCCCAGCCAGATGGTGATGAAACCTCCATTCATGGCTGGGATTCATTCGATATAACTGTGGGATTCATTTTTGGTGATCATGAAACCTCTGATCGGTTCAAATTGCCAGTGTAGCGAACGACTCTGAACGTGTCCTCTGGGGGATGTGGGGGTTTGTTGGGCTATTCCAGCACTCACATCTTCCATTTGCAGAAATTTTTTCCCTTTTCTGCAAATGACCTGACCACTGACCAGTTCTTTTTGCACACTAATCCACCTGATGTGGGTTTTGGTGAAGTGTTGATCGGGCTCGCTCCTTCGAGCTGCAACTGCAGATCCATGCAATGACAGATTGGATGGATTTTATGTGGACAGCAAGGACACAAGCCAACTAACTGAACGCTGTCTTCATGCTTGGAAAGCACAAACCTAGTATTGGCAGGTTGTGCCTTCAATAGCAAAGACATCGCATTTCAGGGCTTGACAAACTTGTCGTTGCTTTTGACCGTTTGAGGTGTATGATATAGTACCATATAGACTTAGACTATGCTAATAAGAACTGCAGTGAAAGAGGAGGAAGTGGCTTGGCCCATGTGACTGTTGGTGAACAAGTGCTGAGTTTGAACCCTGAGCCTGGTGGAATCGGATGAACCCAAAGTCAGTGGATAGCCTCCTTAAGACAAAGAAGGAAGAAGGGAGAAAAAGAGGGGCATTTTTACTCCGGGTACGCTGGGCGTGGTGAAATGTCGCACAAGGGGCTTCACTTCATCCCATCTCACTTCATGCATCATTGGTCAAGTGATGTGCCTCTTTGGTGGAATGTCAGAGATTATATTCCTAGTGAGTTTTTGTTGAACTTGGTTGCATAATTGCATTAGCAACCATCGCTCAAAATTGCATTAGCAAGCATCATTCAAAACGACGGTGAATGCTACCCTTGGCCCACCTTTCCACCGCAATTATGTTGCTCCCAGATCCTTTTTTTTTTTTTTTTTTTTTTTTTTAACAAATGTTTTTTTTTTTTTACAAATGCTCCAGTCTATTTTTTGGGGAGCAGCACGTGCTGGGAATCGGGCCCAGCGTCCCATATCCTTATCTGCTGGTCCCTCTCCTCTTATCAGCTGTTCCCTCTCCTCTTACTGTTGCTAAGGACTGCCTGTTCAACACGACTTCGTCAATTCCTCATTGTCATTGCTGTTATCATCATCGTCATCATCATCACCATCGGCAACATCATGTCTCCGGTTATCCTCCTCTTCATTACCATCACCAATGTCATCATGGTCATCATGGTCATCATCATCATCATCATCATCATCGTCATCGTCATTGTTGTCGTCAGGATCACCTGACAGTAATGTAACTGTTACGGACTTCGCCAGGGCTCGATCCCTGGTCTATCTTTTGCTGTTTCGGCTGCATCCCGTTTTCGGCCTGGCACCCTTTTTCCAAACCCCTCCTTTTGGTACCGTAGGATTTTGGACAACTGGCGCCATGCTGCAATTCGGGCGCCACTTTCAAATACTGCATTTTTCAGTTCTGCCCTCGGGGCCTTTGCAGAAATGCCCCTGGTACCGTACGTGTCATCGGTACTTATGACCGGCTCCCCGTACGGTACAGGGGGGAGTCTCGACCAGTTGCGTACCAGTTCTCTGCTGCTGTACTCGTACTCAGTGTGACTTGCTGTTTTGGGCATTCGGAATCCAAGACTTCGACTTTGTGCCTTGCCACTGTGTCTGCGTCCGACCCTCGGTCCGAGTCCGTCGTGT